AGGGCTGGCAGTTCAAACCCACCAGTAACTCCTCAGAAGGAAGATGGAGAAATCTACTTCCATAGTGATACTGCCTCAGAAACCCAAGGAGGGGCTGCTATGAGTCGGGTCCGACTCCATGGCACATAACAACAACAACAATACTTGTATATATCATAATATACATATATAGATATTCACATATACATTTGCAATTAGCCCACTATCAGTGATTTGAATTACTGCATTGACTTACAGTAGGTCCTGGAGGTCCAACTCTACCGGCAGAACCAGGAAATCCTGTAGCACCCTAGAAATACAATGCCATCTAAGCAATTTTAGAATAATACTAATTAGTTACATGTACTTTCCCAGAATTTATTATTCAGAGGGAGACTTAGGCGCTTAGATGCCCTTCCATGCTGTGACCAATATTTATTTTTCTTGCTATAATGCCACATGTTTTTTAAGAAAGATCCTGTATTAATTAGTAGGAAGATTGCTATTTTTCTCTGTCCACTTTTAATTTATCCTGAGCATACACAACTAGAGCTAAAATCACATTAATATTTTATAGTAGAATTATACAAATTTCACATGATTCTTTTTTTTTCTTATCTAAGTTATATATCATTTATGTTTCATATGAGGCAGCTGGTAACAAAATTGATTTTAATCCAGATATCTAAAGAGCTCTTTTCATTACAGGACAGTTGATGCATGTGAAATTTTTTGTTGTAATATCCTATTAAAATTAACTTTAAAATGCCCTTCAAAGCACTGTATGTCTATTACCAGCAGTTTTTAACTCTCTGAGTTTCAAGTCAACTTACAGGTGGACCCTGAGTTCCTCGACCACCCTTTAGTCCAGGTACACCATTAGGACCCTAAATAGAAAGAAAACAAGAGAGTGCTTCAATAATTAGAAAAATTGGTTATCACAAGCTCCAAACATTGGGCACTAGACTCAAATTATTTCTCCCCCTTCAGCCTTAAACTTACGTGAGGACCAGGGGATCCTGCCAGACCTTGTGGTCCAGGAGAACCAGCATCTCCCTTTTGTCCTGGCTCTCCAGGTTCACCTTTCACACCAGGCTGCCCATCAGGACCCTAAATGCAATTGTATAAATGAGCAATTGATTGTAAGATTCATAGGAAAATTATTTCACAGTAATTGTTAGCATATTTTTAATCATTTATTGTAAAATAGTCCTTTGTAATTAGAAGACAAATCTACCCTGATGAGATCTTTGAAGATAGCCTGAAAATATAAACGACCCCATCACATTTTTATTACAACAAGTTACAAGCCCAAATAATATAAACTCATCAATTCTTGTGCTAATGTAGGAACAAGTACATTGAAAATGAGAATAATACCTACAAAACTGTAAAATTTCCAGAATCTTTAACATACCTTCAAAACATACAACAATGATCACTAATTAAACTAAATGTTATAACAAGAGGAGTGTACATTTACAAGTTGAGGATATTTGAAAATTATACCTGGGGTCCAGCAAAACCAACAGCCCCTGTTGGGCCATTTTCACCACGAGAACCCTAAAAGAAGACAAAGATTATTGTAGCTTTCATATATTATTCTAAAGAGGGACAGTACTTAAAAATACAGTTATATAAATTTGATATGGCTTTAAATGCATAGATAGAGAGAGATACTATTTGAAGAAAACTCTCATTGGTTTCTAGATATGGGTCACAGACCAAATTCCCAAGGTCAAAAGTTTCAAAGATCTTGCCTATCTAGACTTAATAAATTGTGTAGAAATAATGCAGTGATGATTTTTAAGTTCAATTACAAGTTGAAAATCAGGAAGCTACAGATACCCTAAACAAATATGTATGGTTTAATATAAATATCAAGACAAATGATGAAATGCTTTACTGCTCAATTTTACACTAAAGAACATCAAGATACTGTTCCTTACAGGATTGCCACGGGAACCAGGAGGACCAACTAAACCTCGAGGACCAGGTTCACCCTAGAAAGAAGATTTTAGATGGTTACTATCCAAAGCAATATCAAAACATAATAAAATGTAGGAAATTGAGCATGTGTGTGGGAAAATGAGAGAAGTTAGATTCTATGATGATGTAGAACTATCACATGATATGGAAGAGAAAACTTTATGAAAGAGCAAGAATTTATGTCTCATGTTTGGGGTCTACAAAATAACAACGCTGTTAGATAAATAGAGATAGGTATTGATTTGAGTGATGAGAAGGGCAATGTACCAAATGTGAGTGACCAGTATGGTGGCATTGAGGAAGAGAAGGACATAGAGAGGTACATGGGAGGTACAGACAACAAATATGAACCCTTTTGCACATACAGTACTGCATTGTCATGAAGGCAAACATGGGTATACAGGTGGATAGATAGTTGGACAGGCTGAACTCTTAGGTATGTCTATGAAGTGAGGAGTGTATCCAAGAACA